GGTAGACGACGAAGACGACGAGTTCAAATGTGATTGCGGCTTCGAATGCGAAGACCGTGTTCATGTAGTCGCGGAATATCCGTCGAAGAAGTAGAGGGAAGGGTACGTGACTGAGCTGGAGATGTTTGAGGCATGGAATAGAGAGGAAAGGACGGTAGCTGTACTGGGGCATAGGAGGTGGGTTGAAAAGGCGGGAAGGGATATCGTTAGGATAGACAGACTAGGGAAGACATTTTTGAGCCACCTTTGGCAAAGTAGAAAGGAACGATTGGCCATCGGTGATCGGTCCTGTGGGAACAATGCTCCGTCCTCTCGAGGACGCGTGGTCAATGTTCTAACCGCTAAGGCATGCAAAACATAAGAGTACGCCCCCCCCCAGACCAGTCTTCGAAGCTCGATTGCTCCACAACCTGCCATCACCAAAAGTGGCGGTCTTTGGAAGCATGTCGTCGAGGGCTTTCCGTAGGGCTCTTTCCGCACCCCGTTTTTGTGGAACGATCGTGGGGGGTGTCATGTATCGCATCGTTAGTTGCGGTAGTTGAGGGCGGGGGGTAAGCGGCTGTTGCTGCTGTTCACTCCACGAGTGAGCCCCCCACCCTCCCCCTTGTTGCGGCATCGCGACGACTTGACGATGTCGGACATGATAACCTAACACTCTCGGTGTTGTATGTATGGTACAGGAGTGGACCGACGACCCCTCGCCAGAGCGGGACCACGGTGTCGTTTGTGGCCCCATCCCCCGGCACCCCTGCGAGGAAGGGTCCCTTCGAGGGTTGGCAGGCACGCGGAGGGAGCAGCCCTCTCTCCAAAGGCCATCATCACGTGACGCAGCAGCAGCAGGAGCAGGAGCAGCAGTTTTCCTCCTGTCCGGGAGTTGGCAAGGCGGGCGGCGGGAGCACTGCAGCGGCTGCCTGCAGCGCGATCGCCATGACGGCGGCCGGTTCGGGTTGGGTGCGGCCCGGCTTTCAATTGGCCACTGTTGCTTCCGAGGCTACTGCTGAGGTATGCTTGCGGTCACACGCGGAAGCGATGTCGCACATTGTGTTGAGGATGGTGGTCATATGTTTCCTCCCACATTCTATCCGCCCCTGGCGTACCCGCTCTTGGCAGTTCGAACTACCCGACGGCCTTGCCTATTAGAGTTCCGATCTGAGGTCACGCAAGCAGATTTCCTCTGCGGTATATACGAGCTTTAGAGCGTGGCATGTGCTCAAACCAACAGCCAAGCGGCGGTCGAACGTCTGCGACAACGATGGACCGACATACGACAGCCTTGTAATGTAAACTTATACATGCGTCCTGTTTTTTGTGTTGTGTCGTTTTCCGACGTGGAGCAGCGGTCGGAAGGAAGAGGAAAAGTGGCTGCATCCCGCAAGACCAAGGATCACCAACATTATAATCATCATCATCATCACAAATCTCCAAAGTCTCCCAAGATGAAGAGCGATGGCCGAGCCGCCGACACCGAGATAACGTGAGCAGATGTATGTACTGTACTGTACAATACTAATGTAATGTATGCGGTAGTACTGTTGGAATGTATGCGGTAGTATTGTTGTATTGTATGCGGTAGTACTGTTAGGGGTGCCAATCGGGGCGATTTTGGCGGCAAAAAAGTGACCGGTCTATTCGAGGATTTTGAGAAAAAAAAGGGGGGCACGCGGACTTTTTGGTTCTCAAGTCAGCTCTTGAATCATACCGATCAAAGTATACTTTATCCTCCGTACTTTGTATAAGTAGCTCTGCGTCCAGGCAGCGACGTGGCTCTTCATACGTTGCACACATCTGGACACAAGTCCAAGAACACTGCAAGCTCGGTTTATGCTTAAGTTTATAGGGCGGATGAACAACCCAGAAAAACCTACAAATTTCAGCTGTATGGCCAATGCCCGAGGCCGCCTCTGACTTTCTTGAGAAAGCGAGCTTGCAGTGCACCACCTTGGGAGTTAGACCACCCAACACAAAAGACCGAACTGGAATCGCTCAAGTCAACAGCGAGATCTACATGTCTGAAAATGGTCTTCCAAGCGGGTCTCCTGCAGCGCCTGTCAGGGAAGCACAGCAGCAAAAAAACCGTAACCAAAAAAAAGAGAGGCGCGTTTTTGGTGGCGGCAGCAGGCGAGCCGCGAAGAACCTCAGGAAAAACCAAGCCAAGTACGAACAGGCGTCGGGGCAGTCTGTGTACGCCGCCTGCGCAGCGTCAAACACACGGCGTGCGGTCGAAAGGGGCGGTGTTGCCGCCGCACAGAAAGCGCTGACAGAAAAGGAGCATGAGTTGGTCGAAAGTAAACAGCGCGAGGCCGCAAGCACCGCTGAGTGCAGCATGGCTCAGGAGCTCGCGCGCGAGAGCACCGAGGCGCTAAAGGAGGAGAAGGCTAAGAGAGCAGAGGCAGAGCGGTCGCAGCAAGAGGCAGAGCGGAGGAAGCAAGAGGCTGAACGAGACAAGGCGAAGGCGGAGGCGGTGGGCGTAGATGATGGGTGCTTCCTCGCTGCTGCTGTTTTTTTCGCCAGCAGCAGGAGGAGCACTGCTTCCTCCAGCAGGAGGAGTCCGCGCGGTCCCACCGCCCGGCGGCTGTTCGAGTGAGCCACCAGGCATGTTTGCTAGGTTGCGGACGGCGCTAGGGTGCCGCTAGGGTGCCGTGTGCAACCTCCACGGCACGGCGGAACGCGTTCACACACGCTTCGCGCTCGCGGGGCGTCAGGTGTTTTTTGGTTCTGGCGGGGTTCTTCGGAACGTTCGATGTGATTTTTTTGGCTCGAGCGATTTTCCACCTGGAAGATCCAGGACACTTTTCGAAATTTTTTCCTATAGGAAATTTGACCGATTGGCACCCCTAACTGTTGTAATGTATGCGGTAGTACTGTTGTAATGTATGGGGTAGTACTGTTGTAATGTATGCGGTAGTACTGTTGTATTGAGGTTCATCTCGTCATCCGTATTTTTCCCGGCATCTTTCATTCAAACGAAGTTGAATGTGCTGTATGTATGGTGTCTTATCTCCAGTGGATAGATGTCTTCAAAGATCCAAAGAATGCGTTGGAATTGGTGATGTGTGACGTGGCCACAGACGGAGGTGGTGGTGGGTTGTTCCTACCCTACCCTACCCTACCCTACCCTACCCTACCCTACCCTACCCTACCCTACCAGGGTGAGACTGTCGAAGCAGTTGGTGACGAATGAATGACCGCAACGAGTGGCAGGCAGGTCGGTCATCACGACAACCACAAGGCCTACGGATTGCCATCAAAACGGGCACTGGTGTATATGAACGCTACAACCCTGAGCCGCGTCCCGCACCCTTACACTTTTCCCCCTTCCCTCTATCCGCCGACCTTGCTCCATCTCTTGGCCAATCACAGGGGCAGCAGCTTTGCGGGGCCAGGCCAAGGGATCGACCGTCCAAAACGCCACCTGCACACCTTGAGCTCCGGCACCCGGCGGTCATCCAGCAGCCAGCACGACCAGCACCATCGCGAGCAGGACCCGAATTCCCCCCTTTCACGGCCTCGGAGCTCTTCCAGCATGCCCAGCCCGAATCAGCTTGCGGCCCTGGAGCGCGAGGTGGAGATCTGCTCTGCCCGCGTGGCCCGTACAGCCGGGTATGTCCGATTCAGCGTCGCCGCCAAGGCGGGCGGAAGCGGCGGCGGCGGCGGCAGCGGCAGCGGCAGCCGCAGCGGCAGTAGCGTGTATGCCGCGGTTGACGAGGACGAGGGGGAGATGGACAGGCCGCCTTCGCCGCCCTCTAGCGGCTCCACGGGCCGTGGTTCGGATGGCGGCGGAGGTGCTGATGCTACAGGGAGAGCGATAGACCGAGATGCCAAGAAGACGAGGACGACGGATACACCCACGCCTCACAACGTCAACGTCAAAGGCAGCGGCAGCGGCAACGGCAACGGCAGCCGCAGCGGCAGTAGCGTGTTTGCCGCGGTTGACGAGGACGAGGGGGAGATGGACAGGCCGCCTTCGCCGCCCTCTAGAGGCTCCACGGGCCGTGGTTCGGATGGCGGCGGAGGTGCTGATGCTACAGGGAGAGCGATAGACCGAGATGCCAAGAAGACGAGGACGACGGATACACCCACGCCTCACAACGTCAACGTCAAAGGCAGCGGCAGCGGCAACGGCAACGGCAGCCGCAGCGGCAGTAGCGTGTTTGCCGCGGTTGACGAGGACGAGGGGGAGATGGACAGGCCGCCTTCGCCGCCCTCTAGAGGCTCCACGGGCCGTGGTTCGGATGGCGGCGGAGGTGCTGATGCTACAGGGAGAGCGATAGACCGAGATGCCAAGAAGACGAGGACGACGGATACACCCACGCCTCACAACGTCAACGTCAAAGGCAGCGGCAGCGGCAACGGCAACGGCAGCCGCAGCGGCAGTAGCGTGTTTGCCGCGGTTGACGAGGACGAGGGGGAGATGGACAGGCCGCCTTCGCCGCCCTCTAGAGGCTCCACGGGCCGTGGTTCGGATGGCGGCGGAGGTGCTGATGCTACAGGGAGAGCGATAGACCGAGATGCCAAGAAGACGAGGACGACGGATACACCCACGCCTCACAACGTCAACGTCAAAGGCAGCGGCAGCGGCAACGGCAACGGCAGCCGCAGCGGCAGTAGCGCGTTTGCCGCGGTTGACGAGGACGAGGGGGAGATGGACAGGCCGCCTTCGCCGCCCTCTAGAGGCTCCACGGGCCGTGGTTCGGATGGCGGCGGAGGTGCTGATGCTACAGGGAGAGCGATAGACCGAGATGCCAAGAAGACGAGGACGACGGATACACCCACGCCTCACAACGTCAACGTCAAAGGCAGCGGCAGCGGCAACGGCAACGGCAACGGCAACGGCAACGGCAACGGCAACGGCAACGGCAACGGCAGCGGCAACGGCGAGGTGGTCGCGTGCAGGAAGAGCGGGGCGGCAACGGGAAGGGCGACCGACAAGAACGGCCCGGCGCCCGCGGATCACCCGGCGCCACTCCGACGCGCTTCCACCGGCAAGAGCGTCGCCGCGGTGAAATCGGCGTGGGAGAAGGCAGGAGAAGGAAACGGCGCCGCCGCTGGTGGTGTCAAGAGCCGGGGAGCTGGAAAAGCGGCTCAGCACCTGTCTACATCGGCGAGGATCTCGCCCGGGATCCAGGCGCTGATGGCCAACTACGACGCCGCCGCTAGTTACTCTAGACCGGTCACCCCGGGAATAAAAACGACGCTGTCGACCACACCTGCAAAGCCCGCTGGATCTGCAGCTCCTTCTAAAACTGCCGCCTCCGGTGGCGGCGGCAGCGGCGGGCGGGGTGCGACAAGCGCAGGAGCAGCATCACCCGAGGACCGTGAAGTGTTTACGGCTGTGGCTGCAAAGGATGCGGCAACGCCCACGTCGGCGGTGCCCCAAGCGACGAGCGTGTTTGCTTCTACCCCCGCGGGCGGCGCGATGCGGGACATCTCGGTAGGCGTCGCCGGGTTCGCTTCGGTCTTCAAGTCCTTTGACGGGAGAGGTGCTGCTGCTCCGGTACGGACGACCCCAAGGTCGCAGCAGCAGCAGCAGCAGCAGCAGCAGCAGCAGCGTCGTAGGAAGCACCGCAACGACGCGGGAGAGATACGCTGCGCGATGCGGGGACATAGACTGTCCCTCAAGCATGCGCTGGAGGCGGAAGCGGCGGCGGCGGCGGGATCCGCAGCTAAGGGGCAAGAAGTGGCGGTGGAGCGGGCGAGGGACGGTCGGAGTCGCGCGGAGTCGTCGGTGCAGCGACGGAGGTCGTTGGCAAGCTCCAAGAACAAGGTGACGGCCGATAGCCGGTGGTTGGTTGACCATGCACGTGGGGATTGTGCTGTTTTCCTCTCGATGTATGCACAAGCGCTAGTCGTTTCTTTGCGGCAACGGAGTGTTAGTTTGTCTTGGGAGACGAAGGCAAGGTTTTTACCCTGGAGGAGGAACAGCACCCATGAGCGTGTTTGGGTATGGGGGAGGCGGGGAAGAAAGCGACTGGCATCGGGACCTTACGCCTCAATTTGAACATCCTGAAGTTTTAGGACCGCTGGTGCGAGAGAGCGGGCTGCTTTTTTGTGTGTAACAAAGCTTCGGACAACGACATCGGAGGGCTTGGGGAGGAAGCGGTTCCTCCTCTAGATAGATCGTACCCAGGCACGACGTGAGAGACCATTCGCGAGTATAGGCGGTACATATGAGGAAACACCACGTGCTGTACGCCTCACATCCCGTTTATCGGAATAACAATAATAACGACGCCAGGTGTTTGGAGTGCCCTTGATCGGGCTGATGCAGCAGGGGGAACAGGTTCCTTGGGTGGTGAAGCGCTTCGTCGATTTCCTCAGCAAGTTTGGACTGGAGGTGAGATAATAAATATGGAAAAAGGTCATGCGGTTGCGATATATATGTGTGGGCGAACTAACCGGTTGCCAAATGACCAGCGCCGGGTGTTGGTCTTGATTTTTTCGTGCTGGACGTTGAACCGAAACTTGTCGCTCATTCGTGGCGTACATCTCTTTTGTTTGTGCTTCAGCCAACGATCACTCTCCGACGGGATGTCATCATTTGATGTGGTATGATGTTTTTGACCCCTCCACCCCTGAAACCCCCACGCAGTCGGTTGGACTGTTCAGACTGGCCGGAGACGGGATGGACTGCGCCGACCTCAGGGATGCGCTCGATAACGGCAAGCAGGTGAGGCTCAAGACAAAGCACAAGTTTCGAAAGCGCAGCGCCGAATGAGGTAGGCCTTGACACCACCTCCGGTATCGTATCATGTCGAACCAGGCTGTCGCGTTTGCTGTTGTTGGTCTGTGGATCCTGTTGGTTGCGTTCAATCTCCATGCCCAGGATCATTTTTTCATGCAAGCACGTGTTGGATTGTACGAGGTCTGCTGTGCGGGATCACTGCGTTCCCACCCACCGTTCCTTGAATCCGTTGGCTTTAGCTGGCTTGGCTTTTAGATAATTTGACTTTTGTTAACTCGACATGTGTACCCCTCCCTCCTTCTCTCTCTCTCCCTCTCTTCCTCTCTCTTCTCCCTCTCTCTCTCTCTCTCTTCTCCCTCTCTCGGAAGGTGTGCTGGGACCCGATGGACCCGATAGACGAAACGGAAGAGTCAACAAAGGCCACCGTCTGCGCTTCGTCCTCCCTCATGGACGTCAACATGGTGGCCCAGCTGCTCAAGGCCTTCTTTAGAGAGCTGCCAGAACCCCTGGTCCCCTTTAGGTAAGGAATTGTGCGCGTACCCCAGAGTTGACCGACGCATTACTTGGCTATGCAAGCGTTGGTAGAGTCTTGTCTACTCTTTTTTGTTTGAACCTCTGACGTACAAAAACAGACGCTTGGATGTTTCATCTTGGAGAGGAACGAGCCTTACCGGCAGAAGCGCGCCCGATGCTGGCTCGTCGTGTAGTATCTGAGCAGTTACAAGGTCCGAGGCGTGAATATATATGCGGATTAAAGACAGTGCGAAGAAAGCAACAGATGTAAGATGTAAGATGTAAGATGTAAGATGGAAGGGGCGGACACAAGAACACGGCGTTGGTCTAATGGGTCTAATGGCGAGCAAGCGTACTTGACAGCGGTATTCGGGTGTCAGGTAGAGGAGGCTGGGACTGGAGCATTCTCAACTGCTGTGACATCCCAGAATGTTCGTGCCGAATCCTCCATGCGTTGCAACTAGCTCTTTCTTTCGTTCTTTCTTTCTTTCTTTCTACCATTTTCCCCCAAGAACGCTGGCACGTGTTTTGTTGTTTCTCTTGACGTTCGACCACCGCCGCCACGGGAGATTGGACGATATGCCTGTGATGGTTGAATGATATGCCTGGCGAGGCACAATTCGCCTCCGTCCCTGCTGCCGAAACACTACTTCGGTTTCCGTGATGATGTAAAACGTTCGCGTGTGCGTGCGTCTATCGTGTGTGATGTACAACACCGACGTAATTCGCCTGTGTTCGCCGCCCCTCATGTTCACGTCATGCCTGGTGGCACGGCACCGCTCTCGGCGTGCTTGGTCACCCTCCTCTACTCTACAATACGTCCACTGTACAATATATCCAGCGAGTACAGCAAGGTGATCGCCATCGCCAAGGCCGCGGGCGTGGCCGACGCTCGTTGGGTGCAGGCGATGAAGAGTATCCTCTGGGGTATCCCCATCGCCAACTACAACTGCCTCAGGTCAGTTCCCCAAAACAACACTAACCACATTCAGAGGGGGGATGGACTCTACGCGTCAGTTCTTCTTCCTCAAACAGTTTTCGGCAGCTGGGGGGGG